AAAAACAGGGGGGGGGGGTGAGGAAGGGGGAAGGGAAGTGCATGGAAATATGGTGATGGCACATGTGTGACTCGGTGATGGGAAACCCACGGGGATTATAATTGACAAAAAAATAAAACGTTCAAAATGATGTAAAAATAAGCTATTATAAAAAAATAATAAAAAGTCGTGCAGGAAAGAAAAAAGTCGCCATAACTCTACTCCAGTGCTCAGCAACTGACTAGACCACATGGGTGGCATGTCCTGTGGCAGCCCCTGACTGTCAGCTGACCAGACGGGAGAGAGCAGAAGGTGTGACCGGGCAGGGAAACAGCAGCGATGGGGAATGAGAACGAGGCCTGTATCGCTCACTAGACAACACCATAATAAAAATCACAAGAAACAGTGGTATAGCATGCTATTTAGAGATAGAGCCAAGTCAAAAAGAAATAATAAGTCAATTAAAAAATTGAAAGTGATTTATGGCAGGGAACAAGACAGGAGTCTGGGTGGGAGAGGCAGAGAATTCCTGTCTCGTGATATTCTTTTCTTTTCCTCATGTGCAATTCTTTTTCCCTATTTTTTTTTTTAATTTTTAAAATCGGACTCTTGAAACACTATGCATGTAGAGTTAATAAAATTAAAAACTACATTTAAACAGAAAATCTGCAAAAAAAAAAAAAAAATACCAGCCCGGGATCTGCAAAGATAAAAATGTAGGTGAGCTAGTTTATTCGGTCAGTCGGTGTGAGCCTTTGGAGTTTGGGTTACATTTCTTTTTAATTATGAACCAGGATTTTTGCAAACCTGTGCCAAATGCATCATTAGGTTTAAGACAGTAACCGCCTGTGAAGGATGGCTTGCTTTACCTGAAAGCTTAAAATGAACACAACAGTGTTCTTTCATCAACTCTACCGAAGAGGGATCACCAAACCTGGTTCTATTTTCTACTGAATAGGAATATAAAAAAATCTCAAATTTGATAAAGCTTTGAAATTCAAGGCTCTGCACAGAAAATTCAGAATCCATTTTTGTGGAGTAATATGTATTATATGTATACATGATTTTTCCCTCTCTACAAAGACACAATGAAAGGCATTAAAATGTTGATGTATGTGTGTATTTGTTCTATAAAATTGATTTCATTTAAAAAAAAACCAAACTAAATTTTGGGAGTTCAAAGAAGTTGAAAGAACTGATTCCTCAGGCACAGTGCATAGAGCCTGTGACTTCCTTCCTGTTTAACATCTGATAGATACTTACACAACAGCCTTCTCGGGGTCTCTGGGGAAGGTCTCCAGGTTCCCTGTGATGTAGTAGAGAGAACACCATAGGGTCCCTTCGATGTGACCGCCTTGTGCAGCCTTATGGAAATATTCACCAGCTAAAGTCTGCAGAGAGATGAACACATATGATCTCACTCCCCATAGTAGGGGGGTTTCACTGGAGCCCAGGTAATGAGGTACTTAGCCCCTGTTATCATCACAGGCTAGAAAATCCTGCATCTACAAGGCAAGTCAAATTCCAGGAAGACAGCCAGCCACGAAGCCCCGTCTGTGGTTAGCTTGACCGTGGCAGTGCATTGATAATGTTTATGCACGAAAGACAACATGTAAGGGCACTGCCATTGCCACCTACCTTGAGCTTCACCTCAGCCTGCCAGGGAGACAGAGGCCTGTTTTCACCTGGGTGAAAACATCAGCAATTGCTTTCCTGCCCTTGCTTAATACCTGTCTCCAAAAGCAAGTGCAGTTTTAGTGCAAAAACTGCATTTCCAGGAAGGTGAGAATTAGAATATGACAATAAAAAATCCACACTCACAGATGTGTGGGAGAGTTACCAGACATTTGCAATGCATGAAAATATACTTAGAGAGCAGTAGAGGGGAAAAAATAAAACCAACACTTAGACAGTTCTATGTTCTACTGGAACTATTATTTTCCCGAGACAGCCGCCTGCCGTTTATTTGGAGTCAGGCAGACTTGGGTTCAATTCTGGCTCTGCTTTTCATGAGCTGGGTGACACGGACATGTTAATTCACCTACGTAACTAAGGGATTAACTATCGTTTCAACTGACAAATGTGGCTTCTGATAGCAGCTAGCACAAAAGGTTGCTGCGGAGATTAAATGAGGTCACGTTCTGGTGGTTAGCATGGTGCGTCACAAAAAATAATCTTTTGATGCCACACCCCCAAATCTGCTGCTACTGTGATGCTCCCTCCATTTTGCCATCTCAGTAAATGCCAGACGCCCTGAGGTCCTCTGCTTTCACACCTCATGCTCAATCCATTGGCAAATCCTGTCTCCCTGACCTGCAGAATATATCCAGACTCCCCGGCCTCTCAGCCCTCTGGAGCCAAGGCCCAGCCTTTCTCACTTGGATTCAGCACATTAACCCCCTGCTCCCGCGTTCATCTCGTCTCTGCTAGAACCCAGGAGGAGCCTTCAATCCAGCATCTCACTGGCCGGTTGAAGCTGCCCAGAGGTTTCCATCCTGCTCACAGCAGCCTGCCAACGGCCTCCCTCACCTCCCCGCCCCACCTCCCCTGCTTCCTGATTCTACTGCTCCGGCATCTCTGCTGTCCTGAGAGCATGCCAAACCTGCTTTCCTCCCCATCTCTGCCCTGGTTGTTCCCTCTTTCTGGAACATTCTTCTCCCAGCTATCTGTACTTGACAAGTCGGTGCAACATCACATGATCAGAGCTCTTTCCCGATCTTGTGAAAGTCTCCCCCTCTCTACCCTGTGTCCTCCTTTATTCTCCACCATGTTTATCTCTACCTGCCCTTTTATTTTTATTTACTTATTATCTCTTTCCCCCACTGGAACATATGTTTCCTAAGAGTGAGGACTGTTTCGTTTGCTGCTGTATCCTCGGCGGCTGGCATCGGGTGGGCAGTCAGTAAGTCTTGCTGAATGGAACGTGCCCAGATCGTCACTGTTATTACCATCATCAACACTCTCACTGAACAAGGGGTTTCTGCTGCAGGCCCTGACGGTGCCGTGTTTGACCTAGTAAGTTATGTCGCCTCTCAGAGGTGCTGTGGCTTCTTCTACGCAGAAGACTAATAGTAACTACTCCAGGGGGCCGTCGGGATGCCGCGCTCGTGAGGTGAGGAAGCGCTCAGCACACATTAAAGGTTGTCGCCATTGTTCACGACAATAATAGTATTGCCAATATTATTGATTAGGTTCATGCCACCCTATTTGGATCCAGCCTTCGTTGTTTCCAGCTGGAGCAGCACTGGTGCCGATCATTCTCGCCTTTGGTTGTCTCCCTGACCCCCAGTTCACGCCCCCTCCTGCACGAAAACTTCCCCTTCTCCCGACGGTTTGGGTGTCAGCAACTGGCACACACTTGGCAGCTGGCTCTGTGCCCTCCTCGGCCCTGTGATGTCTCGTCTTCCCAGCTGGGCCTGAGGACGGGGGCTGTGTCTTGGGGCCCAGCGCACCCCTTCCCCATGCAGTCACTTACGGGCCACGTAGCTGCTCCCATTCGTCCTCACCTGATTCCTCCCCGGGACCCCGGGGAAGATGCCGTCCAGATACAGAACTCCAAGATTGTACGACGCATCTGGGTTCCCCATTTCTTCTGCTTTCAACCAGTACTTGGCGGCTTTGGCATAATTTTTCTTGAATTTGTGATAATACCATCCCAGGCCATTGACTGCCTGATGCAATCCCTGGATTTCAGAACAAGAAGGAGATGACTTTTGTTATTTTAAATGAAAGCGAAGGAGAATTAATTGTGGTGCAAGCATTCTGCCTGAGTCTGAACAAAAGCTTCCTTTTCTCTACTTGGGGGCAGATGGCGTTAAAGAAAAACTAAGTGCTGGAGAACACGTGCGTTGGAGTGGTCCCAGGCGGATCCCGCCCGGCTGCTGCTGGGATTTCTGCCTTCCAGCAACACACCAGGCTGGCCCCAAGTCATCACTCAGCTCCTGCGGGCTCCTCCACATCAGTTGTCTGGGAGGGGCCTCTCATCGCCCTGCAGTGTTGACAGTGCCCTTGAAACTCATGAGCGCTCAGCTGTGACAGGAAGCCCCAAACCTGCCAGGATGTGTCTAGGTGACCCACCCGCCCATCTGCTGATGACGGAGCCCTCAAGACCAGCAAGCCCCTCAGGGAAGCAGCCACAGCACCCCTCTTGCAAAGACAGGTGCTTTGTGACCACTTAGCGTCCCTGGTGGGGGCTGAAGCAGATTGGTTCTACCACCGGGAAGGGCTGCTTCATGCAAACCCAGGCGCGAGCCCCTTGCTTCTGCTGAGTCAAGCTACCAGGTGTGAGCTCCAGGCACTCCCACCTGCTTCCATCTGGAGTCTCGAGGCTGGCTATGGGAGGCCGGGAGCGTGCAGGAGCGTGAGTGTTCCTGATGGAGCTTCCTGTCCAGCAGTGACAGGCCTCAGGTGCAAACCTGGGCAGACAACTCTTGTTCCTCCCTTCCTGCTAGGCACTCGGCCACAAACAAGCAGGGGGAGAAGGATTCGAGGGGCAACCGCTGCTCTTGCATTCGTGAGGCTTGTTAAGCCAGAATCCAAAAGGGGAAACCAAATCTCCTTGGCCTCTCTGTGCACCAGGAAAATGTAGGTGCCCCAGCATGATGCCAAGACCCCAGGACAGAGCTTTCCATTCTGCAATAGCTCCCTCTCCATCTTTATGTTCGAATCTGGGTGCTAGGAAGTCCAGGAGAAGGAAGCTAACAGCCGACTAGAAGAGAAGCTCTCTTCTCCATCCCAAACAGCTAGGAAGGTGGAGCCTGGCACACATCAGGTGCTCAACACGTATTTGACGAATGCACAAAAGTCACCCTTAGAATGTTCATGCTGAACAAAACAATCTAAATCCTATACCCCAAGGATCGAGAGTAGGGCTCAGATCTGCTGGCCCCTAAGATAGCTGATACATAGAGGGATCGTTTTGGGGGTGCTGTTTTGTGAGCCTCAAATAGTATCAGGTGCAAGGCAGGCTCCTGATAAGATGTATAGAATAAATGCATTTCAGCGATGTAATATATCAGGTTCTGTGTAAAGGGCAAGAACCTGCCATGCCACCAGCCCAGCAAAGGTAATTTCAAAATGGCTTTTGCAGACCACCAGAGGTCACAAGTGGTCTCAGCCCACACAACCTATCTGGACCCAGCTCTCCTTGCTTCTAGCGGAAGCATGATCTGATCATACCAGCCTTCTGCCATCTCATCCTCCTACCCCCAGTTCAGGCCACCACCTCCTCCATGAAGACTTCCTGATGGCTTTGGCCTCCTCCCTCTCCTCTTTTCAGAACTGCCTGGACTTTGACAACGGGCACAGCCCTGGCACATGGCTGCTGCGTGTTTTGCTCTGCTCTGGCTTGTCTTCATAACTGGACCCCTGGATCCCGGAGAACCGGGCCTGTCTCTTGGGTAGCTTGGTGACGTGTCTAATTCAAATGTGCCCTCATCATTCAAAAACACTCAGAGAACTCCATTAGCAATTACGCGCAGACTCACTGCAGGAGCCCCCAAGAAACCCTGTCTTATTTCTCCTTACTCATGCTTTTTTTCTGGAAACGTACAGTTCCTTCAACAGATCTCACGCCATGTGAATTTTGGCTGACTGCCCCAAAATCACACCTCATGCCACCATCACCACGGTGACCGACAAAGAGAAAGGGCTTGCTAGCTCCTTGCTGCATGAATGAGTGCGATCACAGAGCAATTTTAAGGCTATAACCACTCTGAGTGGGCCATAAAAATATATTTCCCCAAGAATATGTAAGTTCCACTAAAAATCCATTAAAAATAAAGTACATTAGCTATCAGTTCACCATTAGGATGGTTAAAGAGGCACATTCCACACCTGCCAGGAAACTCTATCACTGGCCTCCTTTGGCATGTTCTAGAACCCTGTCCTCAATGGCCACCACTAAGCTGCTTCCTGATATCTGCGCTACAATGTGGGTGGGTTCAGAAAGTGGTGGGCACTTCAGTGGGCAACCTATGTTCCCTCCAGATGCCACAGAGGCGGGCAGAAGCCTCCTGGCTCTTATTGCAGGCTTCAGCTTCTCTTCTCCAGGAAAAGAGACACTCTGACCTCCTCAAAGAAAGGGAGCAAGGACGAGAAACCAAAAGCTGGTGGCTTTTGGAATCTCTGCTGTGGGACAAGTCTCGCCAGCTCTGGGGGTTGGAGGCATATGCATGAGCCCCTGGGTCCTTATAGACCCTGTCTGGGATACAGATTGAAGAGTTGCTCATTTGCAAATCTCTGTGCATGTGCACGTGCAGGTGCCTGGATTGCACAGGTCTGCCCATAGCTTTGGGCACCCATGGGTGTCAGTGAGGAACTCCTCCAAAGCAGCAGTATAATCTCCATTCTGTCAGGCTGACTGAACCTCACTGGTTTGAAGTTAACCTTGAGAAGTAAACAGTGACAAAAGCAAAGTAATCTTTCAGCCCAATAAGAAACTCGATAAACAGTCCCACCACTGAAACTCGAGAACAGAAGGAATTGGACAGGATAGCGTTAAGCTTCAAGGAAGTATTGGCCTTCCTAATTGAGGGCCTTTATTCCCACTCCATTTTAAGGAGCCCCCACTGCCTGTGATCAGGGCAGCCTGTGATTATAATTTTAGCCTTCAAACAAAATTGGTCTGCTTTCTATTGACTGAAGAGTGAATGCGGCCTTTGAATTGGGCAGTCCTGTTAGGGCAGGTTTCTGTGCGCTGTGGTGCAAAAAAGACTCATTGCTGCCAGCCGGAGACCTCCCCTCCTACCCCCCACCTTGGGGCTTTGCAGGAAAACGCTGGCCATTTACTCTCCCAGACTTAGAAGCATGTGGGTGTGTGGCAGGAATGTTCCTTCTGACAATATGCATAAGTGTTACCTTGGAAGCTGCTTTCTTCATCAGCTCCAAGGCAAGCCGTCTGTTTCTTTTTACTCCTTGACCCTAAACAATGATAAACAGCAGTGATTATGAAAAAAAATACACCCGAAGTGTGCTCAAAAACATCCCACAGATCCAGTATTGAGACAAAATACTGAGAAGTAATTTTTCATTAAAACCTGTAATTTTTCATTAAAACCCAAGCCTCCTTTATGAAAAACCAAGTCATCCAGATTTCTGTAGGCAGAGCCATCATCCCCACAGCATCATCATTATTGAGCTTTATCTGTGGGGCAGAGGCAACAGATCTCAACCTCCCCGGACAGAGGTGCAGGAAATTCCCCATTTATCACTGGTGAGGCCCATTTGCGTCAATCCACAGGTATACTTTGGAAGAAGCCATGGAGACGGGTAAATGAGTCTGGTCATCCTGGGTGCTTTTCTCTGGGGTTTATCTAATTTGCCAGCCAGATCAAGCACTCTATCTGTGCCAGACAGTCAAGTATAATATTAGGTTGTCATCGCAGCTTTCCTGAGCCCTGGCAGAAGTCCACAGGGCAGGAGGGTGCAGCTTCAGACACAGCTCAGAGACCAACTGTGAAGCACAGGGGACCCCTTGGAATGGTGGTCTCTGATCCTGACAAAAATGGACAAAGTTCCTCAGCAAAATGCAGTTTTTTTTCCAGCAAAGTGGGTTGTGCAGCATGGAGGGAAGTGGTTTTGGGGTTCTTGTTACCACACAGGGGCTCTGTAGACATGTGGCAGGACTATGTGAGCCAGCAATGGGTGTGAGGAGGGCTGGGAAGTCCCTCTACGGTATCTCCTGCCATGGGTGACAATGACAGAGCAGGCAAGCAGCATCAGATGAACACTGTGGCTGCTTCCAAATTCTACTGTTGACACTTCTGCGCCACACGCTCCTGCCCTGAGACGGTGGCTGAAGTTATCACCTATGGCAGCAGACAGGGACACTTAGCAGTGCTATAGCTTGAACTCTAATTAAATACTTAGCGCTAAACTTCTCCTTACTTCTGCTTACTATATTTAGCTCAGGAATAAGTGAAGACAGCACTAGTAAGCATTCCCTGGTTAACTGACAGGGCAAGCACTATCCTGTCTTCTACGCTCCTCACAACAATCCCACCAGAGGTGCCGTTATTTCCCACCTGAGCACCTCCCCTAGAGTCACACGGTGAATGAAAAGCAGAGACAATCTGAACCCAGACAGTGGGTTCCAGAGTCCAAACATGTAGCCATCACACCACAGTCCCTCCTGGACATTTCAGTTCTCTGCTGAAGATGAAGAACCACTCCCAGCCTCCTTGAGGGATACGTTAGTGCATTTTTCAGGATCGATAATAAAATTGTAAATCTAAGTTAGGGTAAATTGCACACACTGCGTTTCTACTAGACTTGAACTTTCCTGTTTAATAAGCCTGATGAACTGAAGCCAGTGGAAGATGCAGCTATTTTTCAGAAGTGCACCGTTACTTCACTTAAGTAGAGGGAGGGGAGGGAGAAGAGGGCACTCCATGGCCATGGGTATGCCTGCATGGAGTGACAAGACTGCCTTTGACACTTCTGCAAAAACATCAGAGGCTGGAATGACAGAATGTTAAAACCTGGTTGAACCTGTAGTTTCTCTTTGCCAACTTCTTTGTGCTAAAGGAAAAACCTGAGACCCAGAGAGGGTGACTTCTCCAGAACCTCACGGATCTTTAACTAGAACTCTGGGACTAGTTTCTAGGTTGTGGACTTTCCAGGTTACGTGCTACTTAACCTAGCAAGTGTGACCCTTTCTTGCACAAAGACTGTTAGTGGAGGTTGTTCAAGGTAGAGCCCTGGTACATGGTGATAGTCAACGACAATCCACTGAGTGAATTCAAGAACAAGCTGCTGTTTACAAAGTTCATACAAAATGGGACGGTGCCCCCCCCACCCCCCGGGACAAGCCACAGCCACTGTCATGGTGCCTTCTCTGAGTACAGTAAGCCGAACGCCCACACCAAACCAAGTGCATGGGGCTGGGTTTCACATTTACAAAGTCCATTTTCTGCCTGGGTTCTCATGAACTATACTCAAAGAGATCTGGCCAGAGGCAAAATCATCCTGGAGATGCTGGCAAAGGGCTTCTGATGCCCCACCCAGGGATAACAGATCACAGGTTTGGGAAATTAAACTCTGAAGCTACACTGTTACCTCCGGCATCATCAGTTTATGCAGTTACCACTCCTGCTAGCCTGTGATCTCCTGGTGGGCAGAAGTCATGTTTGATTCATGCCTTTAACAGCATCACACTTTTGACAATAGCCAGTCTCGACACTGGGGGGCTGGGACCCCTTCTTCATGCCTGTCTCTGTCTTTCCCGCAGCCTATGAGCCCCTGAGATCAGGACACGGCTCCAACATCTCTATGCCCCTCCAGCCAGCAGGCCTGGCACTCTGTCAGCCCTGAATGGATGTTTGTTGAGTACATGTATCAATGTACTGGCAAGCGGCGAAGAATCAAACCATTTCTATGCCGATTTGACAACTGGCAAGAGAAAGTTCAGGTCCTAAATTTGGAAACCACACAACCGATATGTTTTAAGCTCTGGAGGAGAGAACGTAGCAGAAGTCACAATACTGAGTGGCCAGTTGTGGCTCTGGCCACGTGAAGCTTTGTTCTTATTTTAAGGCTCATGTGATGTGCGGGTAGCTGCTTTCTCTGGGCCTGGATATAGGGTCCCAGGTTTTCCTCACTAGACCCAACATCTTTTCCTTTTCCAAGACTGATGAATGGATGGCTCTGTGCTGAGAGTATGCAAAACAGGCACGGAAGCCAGACTGCTAGGACCAGAGTCCCAGATCGGAAATGTATCCATTGTGTGAACTTGGGCAAAGGACACTTTTTTCCGTGCCTTTGTTATTGAATAGATACAGCAGTCATAATACACCACAGCACTGACCTCACACGGTGGCTGTGAGGATTAAATGTGTTGATGCGCCCAGATCAGGTAAGCAGCCCTGGTTCACTCATCATGGACACTACAGTCTTGTATAGGACACATGGCCCTGTGAGGTTCTCGACACCCATGTGTGCTCTCCCATCGTGGTCATTACCATCGTCCCAGGAGATCAGACAGATCAAGGACTCCTGATGGGGGCTGCAGAGAGGTATTTAAACTCTACCAACTGTCTTCTGGGCTGAAGCTGCCTACCCAGCCCCCCTATTCTGTTGGCTCAAAACCAAAACCTTTGTTTTGATCAACAGAATGGTTGGGATCAACCCAACAGTTGAAGCTATGATTCAGTGACAACTCTGCCTGCTGTGAGCTCACAGCCCCTGGGGGCTGGGAAGCTGGCTCAGGTACTGATCCGTGGCTCAGGTACTGATCCGTAAAACAGGGAAGTCTCCTCCAGAATGCCACAGTTCTTGCAAAAGCCAAGAGAAGCCAGGTGCCAAAGACTAATGATTAAAAACAAGACGAGGTGCTGCTTCCGACTCTGCCCTTGCAGCAAATACCCCTTTTCATCAAGAGTGACGGGCACAGAGACGCAGCTTCTTCAGTTGCGACGTGCCGTTTGCCTGAGAAGCGCACAATTTCAGCACAAAGTAAGCGACGCTCACCTTGAACAACACGATGGCATAGTCGTATATTAACGCCGGGTCTTCGGTCTCCAGGGCGCCCTTGGCATACCACTCAATCGCCGCTGCTGGGTTCTTGGCCACTCCTTGCTGCCCCCAGAAGAGCATTTGGGCCAATCGTTGCTTCAAGACAAGAGCAATTTAGAATAATGACTTTCTGGGTACCGCTTGACAAAGATGGGAAGACAAACCTAACTGAGACTATCTTAAGGACCAAGAATGAGCTAGACATGTGGTCTCTTGCGATTGGAGCCAGAGTCCTGCAGGTGGACTTGTGCAAGGACAACTCCTTAACAAACTGGACATGGAGCATAAGTGCAGGTGGAGAGTGTGTGCACACACACAAATGACCCCACTGCACCTGGGGCCAGAGCTCAGTGGACCTTGGACAACAATCCAGACTGCTTGCTCCTCGCGTGTCACCTGCTAGGTAGTGGCGCCTGTCCTGGGCCCTGCCCTGCAGAGGTACCATTCTGAACACTACGCCTGTTTCTGCCACAGCATCCTCTACAAACCTAGCTGCTACCGCAGCGTTTGTCCACATGGGCCATTGCGCTGAAGTGTGAGACGGGAGTTCTCCAAGACCTCATGATGTTATCTGCTTGCCCTCCCACCTCAACCCCACACTCAACAGAGCTCCATAGAAGTTCATAGAAGCAGCTCAACAAAAACTAACTGAATGAAGGAAGAAGTGTCTGTTGCTAGGAAACTCATGCAAGCTCTGGAGCACCCAGGGGGTAGCGGTGGTACTCCCAGAGTGCACAGTCTGCACTGGAAGGATGCGAGCGGGGCACAGGAGAATGGAGCCAGGGCAACCTCTGTCGATGTTCTGGCTGCATGTGGCTGGGTCTCCACCGTCTTCCCTTCTGCTTCTCCTGTCCCCTCTTTCTCTTCTCTGTTCCCCCAACTACTTCTACCATCCAGCGAAGTAGCTCCTTAAATGCTATGAAGACCTTGATAAGTGGAGGGAGACACCTTCCTGCCTGAAATGATTGCTCCCATGCCTTTCTGATGCCTTTTCCTCCTTTCCCCAGCTGCCACCTCCTGCCTGCTCAGCAGGTCCAGCGCCTCTTCCCCACACTGTCTGCACACAGAGAACGAGCAAGGTGATGCCCACCTTTAGACACGGGGGCCCTCTGCACTCAGCCACAACTGCACCCATCCCAGGAAAATCAAGGCAACACACCCTGGAAGAGCATCCTCCCAGCTTCCTGACCTGTCTTGTTTTAAAGTCTACCCAAAAGGCCAGCATGTCCAGAGACCAGGCGGGATCCCTCTGGGCTAAGTAACATGCGACACGGACTCCCTCTGGGCTAACCTGACACGTAACATGTATGGCTGTCTAGTGTCCTCGCAGCTACTCTGCAACGTCCAACTAACCTCTTTTGCACAAGAGCCTCCTCATTTCATTCCCATCCGGTCCACTATGTCTGGTAGTTTCTGGGCCTGGTGAAATGGACGGTGGCTCCCACTCCTGGGCGCAGGCAGGACCACGCCTCCAGCTTGCTGGAAGTCGAGTGGAAAAGCCTCTTGCTTTCGCAAATGAGGACAGTCACTTGTGCTACTTCTGAGCAGAGCAGGAGAAGCCAGCCGAGGGGAGCATTGCCCGCCTGCTGTGGCTGGTTAGTGTGGGGTCCGAGGAAGCCCCTGCTGCCTGGGTTCCTAAGAGACTATGAAGCACAACCCCAATAACCCCCACCCCCCAGGCTGTGTGCACAGGAAAGAAACACTACTGCTTTAAGCCACTGAGACTGTGGGCTCTGGGTTTCCTTGGTGTGGCTCGGTCTAAGACAAGTCAGTGTGACTCGGTCTAAGACAACAGGTTCTCTTTACCTGAGCTGCTGCGTTGCCTCGAGTAGCTTCGTGCTTCAGCCACATGAAAACATCCCCATCTTCCTTGGTCTGTACCTTGAGTGTCTCATCATCTTTCAGTCTAATTGTTTCGACATATGCCTAAATGAGGAGAAGAGAAGGAGGGAGAGTAAGAAGAGAAGAAGGGGGGAGGCGGGAGAGAAGTATCCAAATGGGATGAGCATATGACAGATAAGACATGATGCTTAAACCAGCAATTGCTCAAGCAAAAACCACAGGAATAATTAAAACAGGAAAGAACATCTCTCAGGCCGTTCGATCAAATGCTTGTTAAATGAATGCATCGCGGCTCGTGAATCTAACTGGGTATTTTTGTTCCGATCGAAGAATTTGTCTTGAGAGGACACAATTTATTCCACTTCCACGACTCGAGCTTGTTTGAGAAGCTGCTTTTGTGCCACAGATGTCAGAGCCTGATTCTACATGGCATCAAAAAGGGTAAGTCAATATTTTCTAAGTGCAACCTCATTTTATTTATCCCGAAGTGTTATTATCCTGCATGACTAACCCTTTTTATTTAGGAGGTTCAGCTTCAAATAACTTTCGGCTATTTCCAAAATTTAAATCCACCCTGCCAAGAAGAAGGCATGCTGACACAGACGACACAAGCGGAATGTGCTGGGGGCGCAAAAGATGAACCCCACAGAAAGTTCACGCAATGTTTTGAATTTCCCCACAGCCTCCCAGCTGTCTGCCTTCTCTGAAGGAAAGAAAACTCATTTTGATGTATAAATTTTGACTATTTTTGAAAAAAAAAAAAAGACCCCACTGGAAGGTGGGGCTGCCTCACAGCCTCCACTCATGCATCCTGCACGCCATGGAGCAGCGCCCGGCTCAGCATACGGGAAAGGGCTCCTGTGTCCGGCGCAGGCCACGGCAGACCGCACAGAAGCTGGCTCCAGAGTCTCAGAGGACAAGGACCAGCCTGCGGTCCCTGCAGCCCTCCCTGCCGCTTGGTTCAGAGCCCAGCTTGGACTCGCAAACTCCAGCCGCCACCCCCGTCCCTGAGGTTGTCTCTGCATGGTGTGTCTGCTGTAGCCAGGGGTCCTTTTGGGGGACTTAGGGAGGGGCAGGGCGGGGCTCAGATCCGAGTCGGTAAGGTTGTTGAGTTACTGGGTTCTCAGGCTCAGATGCGGAAGAATCACTCTGTGGGGAGGCTCACTAGGAGAGGCCACAGAACCTTCCACGGGAGTGTTTCTCAGACTACACCCCACACTTCAGTCCTCACTTAACAGGCAAAGAAACTGAGGCTCAGAAAAACACACCTCAGGGTCACATCTTGGCATTGGCTTGAGTCATAGGCAGAACTCAGACCTCCTGGCTCTCGATGCCGCCTCTGGAGAGGAGGCCTGGGGTCCTGGGGGACTCTGAGCCCCTCCATCTCATGGACTCTCCCAACGAAACAACCTATGTGAACAGAGGCGCCCCACAAGGGGCATCTTACACCAAGCCCCAGGGGACCCTCTCATCTGATGAGCTGAGAACTGGGCTCAAGTTTCAACTGCTCAAGTAGTGAAGTCTCAGAAATTTTTATTCACCTGAAGAGTTTAGATATTTTGGATTTTGGCTGTTTTTCTCTTCCTCTTTCACTTTGTCGAGGGCCTTGAGTGAAAGACCTAATATATGGAGACTCAGTTCCCACCCTGCAGGGAGCGAGACACTTAGGTGTCTGTGCAGCGACATTCTAACGGCAGCGTGGGCCGCAAGCTAGATGCTGTTCTAATTGCTTAGCCCAGCCTGGCTCATTAAATCCTCGCAGCCTTGTAAGACAGCCACTACCAATGTCACATGTGGGGAGACTTGTGGTCCAGAGAGCTGAAGTGACTTACCCAAGGTCTATACTTAGAGGCTTTCAAACTTAGGTGTCAACCCAGGCTAGCTGTCTGGGGGATCACAGTCCTCACCCAGCTTCACCACCCTGCAAAGGCCTCCAGCATCCAGGGGGAGCCAATGACCACTGTTTTCAGTCTCCCCTTAAATATCTGACCTCCATCTAACAGTGCTGTGAGAGGGGCTTGGCAAAGGCCATGTTTCTGGGGGACCTGGCTGGCCTTGCCTAGCTCTGGCCTTGCCCTTTGTGACTCGTTAGCTGTCCCCTCGCCTCACCTGGCCCCACTATGTCTTTTGGGGTGTGTAACATGATGGAGCCATTGAGAACACAATCTTCACATCAGACCCAAGAGCCTTGACTTCTAACTCACCACAAACTACCGGTGGGCCAGTTACCTATTCTATCAGAGGCTCAATTTCTACATCCATAAAATGGAGCTTAGCACAGTACAGCTGTATCAAAAGCACTAACTCAGTGCCCTTTGCTCTTTACAGTGTGAGACTCTTGCAAGACTTGGGTTCGCAACTAGGTTCCGCTACTCATTTGTTGTGACTTGGGGTGAATTGCTGAGCTTCTCTGAGTCGCAGGTGACTCATCTGTAAAACAGGAATGAAACCAGTACTGACCCCATAAGGTTGCGTGAGGATTAAATCAGAGGGTTTATGGATGAGCTTAGCAGGGAACATAGCAAATGGCAAGCTCAAGTCATCCTCTTCAGGGTCTTAGTTCATTCTAACGTGCAAAAGGCTAACAGCAGCTTAGGCCATTAGTCTTCCTACTGGTATTTGCAGTTTGATACAGTTCAAAGCCTGAGGCTACCAGGACAAAGATCTATCTATATGCTTTAGCAAGTAGAAAGGATAGAATTTGTGGAGGCAGTGTTGGGCCAGCAGCATTCAAGGGTGCTCATGCTGTGTGCCAAGCTCCACGGAGCACATGCTCGTGGATTAAGTAATTCTTGCCGGCACAAGCGTGTGAGGAGAGACCTCACAGCCTCCACTGCACAGGGGAAAATCCGCACAGACACCCAGGCACGGAGCGCCTCCGAGACTTCCCACGCAGTGAAGGGTGGACCTGGGTCCCGCCCCGAGCAAATCTGGCCCCCGCAGCCATACACTGGAGCGCGCTTCTCCATGGCTGTGGGCTCACCCCAGCGGCAAGGAGCATTCCTGCACTGCAGAGTTAAACCTGCCGACCGGGCGGGAGGGGGTGCGATGTTGGGAGACTGCAGCACTCATCCCTAGGGCCCGGGCAGGGGGCCCCACCATCCTGAGACACCCCCACTCTGCAGGCTTTCCCTCTGCTCAGCCACAGGCGGCCATGGCAGTGGGCACAGCTCGTCATCCTAGCAGCTGTCTGCCAGCCAGGACAGGGCAGTCTGAGAGAGGGGGTGTGGCAGAGAGAGAGGGGAGGCGAAGGACATGGTGGAGACAGAAAGGAGGGAGAGAAAGTAGAGAAAAGAATGGAGGAAAAGGGAGAGAGGAGGGAAGGGGGAGGGGTGAGAAGGGGTGGAAAGAGTTGGGGGGGGGGGGGGGGAAGGCAGAGAAGGGCCCAGTGGTTCCCAGTTGCAGTGTCCGCCTTCTGTGGACTGAGGATCCAGTGGAGGCGCGAGCAGGCCTAGGAGCTCAGCCACACGATTTCTGAGCTTGCGCTTACCCGCCCACCTCCACTTACTTTCTTCAGGGGCTGTAGGATACACCACTATGGACCTACTTCTTAGGGTGCTAAAATCAACCACAGTGCTTGACTCCCTATAGGGGGTGTGTGTTTTCTTTGTTGAAATCGAACATTTTAGGGATTTTGAAGTAAGAATGAGGGGATATTAGCTGTAATACTACATCCCTGGAGAGGCAGGGAAGCAGATACCCAAGTCCCCAAAGTTAGGCGGCGGGTAGAAGGAGCCCCATGTATGTCACATGCATGCAAAGGTCACCAGGGCTCAGTGCCTCAGAGACAAACTTTAAAGCTAGGAGGCGTGTGAGTCTGACAACAGCATGCACACTGGTTGTATCCGAAAGCACCAGAGAGTCAACAAGACGCCATCATCACCATGTGTTCATCTCTGGCTCTTCACCCTCCCCCTACCCATCATCCGGGCATAAACACCGAGCACCAACTACATGTCAGGCACAGTGCTAGGCTCGAGGGCCACAGATGTGAACAGATGTGATGCCTGTCTCGGCAGCCACCGTCTCAGGCATCTCTCCTTGCTGCGTGCGCACACGTCTGGCCTCATACCAGGCACACACGATCAGGGCCCCCCAGTGACTCCATGTGAGCTTCACCACCTCATTATAGCACCTATCTCCAAGTACCACCATGTTCTAAGGAACGGGGTGTTAAGACTGCACCTGTGAAGTTAGAGGACACAGTTCAGCCCCTAACCAGAAGCTATCACAGCAGAAACATGACACGAGACAAAGGCAGGCTGTGTCAGCAGCGACGGAGGCACAAGAGAGCAACGGGCCTGTGACACCACTGGGCTGTAACTCAGCACGACAGGGCTGTGGGGGGTGTCAAAAGGAATCCCCAGTGGCTAGCACACTAAACGGTACCATAGCTGAGAAGTGTGTGCAGAAAGGACAGCAGAGAGGTGTCTGAGTATTATGACAGCACATGGTTTGTAAGGAAAATCTCAGCCAGAGAAGGTCTGAGAGATCTTAGTGAATGGGAGGCACTGAAACTAGGGGTGTCAATGGTCCCCACCTTTTAGAAAGCATGGAGGGAGAGGAACAGAAGGCTGGGCGCCAAGCCTTGCAGAAGAGCATGAGAAGGGGAGAGAATTCGAGAACCACATTTAGGATTAAGCCAGAAGAAACAAACAAACGCAGCATCTTCTTCTCTTCAATCTGAAGCAGTGTTCCACTAAATCATAAAGAAATGACATGAAGTGAGATGACTAATAAAGAAGGTGAAGTGATGTGAACTGCGTCACATAAAGAAGAAAATGAAGCAAGATTCAAGGAAGGAGTGACTGAAGGACTCGTGGTTTGTTAATTAGAGGTCTAGCTTGCCTTATCTCCTCATTTGTTCCATATGGGCTGGTGAATTAATAGATTCCTGAACAAAAGGACATTTAAATCAACGTATGACACCTGCTTAAATTCTCAAGAAGCCGTTAATTACACATTCTTAAGAAAATGAGCTATGATACAACTCCTCTAACTGCATAATTCCTATCTCTGGTTCTTCATCAAGCGACTTTTCAGCTACAAGATGGATCTTTTCTATTCATCTTCTCTGGTTCTGACCAATTAAACATTTTCTTTCATAATCATAACATTTCACATTCCAAATCTTCAGAAGAAAAGGAGCTTGTTCACGACATACCATTTCACATTGCTAATTTATGCTGAATTAGATTTCTTAAAAGTATAATATGTACACACAGCCCATTAATAACACATTCGGGTTTAACAGAACAGTGGAAGTATTATTCTGTGGCTTGACTTTGTATGAATGTTTCTTCAGAACTATTCCTTTTTATAAAAAAGTTTATCAATTAATAAATGAATTCCTTTCAAACAGAGGTCAAATTTTGCATATTGCTTATCCACACAGAGAATACAAATGATGGGTGTGTAAGCTTATCCAGAAATCATCTGTTCTAAAGGAATTAGAATGTCTCTATAGACAGCCCTTTGGTGTTTGATAGCTTGGCTCGTGTTTAATGTGCACCGACAGTGTGTGTCTTTGAGTCATTGATTTCATAACTGTACAGCGGCCACAGCAGACTTCTTCTCCAGAAACCATCCGTTCCCTGTCATCAAAGAACAAGTTTTCTGCACTGTGGGTTTCTGAGTGCGATCCAGGAACAGTGCTGGGGAGCAGCGAGCAGTCTGGTTCCCCGTTAGCTGTTCAGCCTAAGCTTTCACAGTTCTGACGTAGCCGCGCTGATCTCCTGGGCTCACCAAGCATAAGCAGGGAAAGCCACGAGTTTACGGTCTTGGCCAGAGCCAAATCCAGCAATGGCTGCGCAAACCCAGGCCTCTTGTTGATTTAGTTATTGTCAGTTCAGAGGTGAGTACTTGCAACAGACACTGGATAAGCAAAGCCTAAAATATCTACTACCTGGCTCTTCAGAAAACAAGCCAACCTGCACTTTTCAACTTGACCACTTCTACTACTGCTATGACCACCAGGCCATCTCAAATCCTTTCTGGAGAGAGTGGACATGTACAAACCCAGTCCAGGAGCCAACCACATTCTGGTCCCTTCCCAGTGGATACATTATGTTTGGGGCACAGGTGTGAGCCATTGATTTCTTTGCCCAATGAGTCAATGAGATTCTGACGCCTACAAAATTAGGGCCCTTTCTCAGGACATAGCTGAGGGTGGAGCTGCCTCTATGTACCCAGACACTGCTTGTTACTACAGATTGGTAGGCGCCCTCGGTTCACTGCCACCCCTCAAGATGACTCCGTTCTCCTTAATATCTCTGGACCCCACCATTTCACAAGGTCTTGGAACAAAGACAAGATACCTATGTTTCTGGCACACATTCTCTGCAACATCTAAATCTGTCCAGAGACAAATCCACACTTTGCAATGCCAGTCCTCCCACTCATGAAAAGTCTTCCGTGCAGAGATGTGGGAATGCACCTGCATTGAGCCTGAGCTCAGAGTCAGGAAGTAGGAAGTGCAGAGCGTCCTCCCCACGCCCTATGTCCATCCCTGAAAGTCAGCAAATCGGTCACAGGGCAGACATGCCAGAAAACTGCAGGACGCCCTGGGCAACATAGCCGTCGCCACTTCGACCCATTTTTCGCTCTCTCGTACCTGATCTCCTTGTAGTGTGTGCTGGTCGAGGGGTGTCTTGGTAGCAATATTGCTGTAGTAGGCATAGGCCAGCTCCCAGTCCAGGGGGTAGTCGTCAACGCCCTGATAGTGCTTGTACCCAAGGTTCATTGAAGACAGCCTCTCACTGCCCTGGCCACCAACCAAGCTATACAGCACGCCCTGTGAGGGAGGAATCAACAAGGCATTCACAAGGTGTGGACAGGGGCCACCGACCGACTCCTAACATCCAAGGGTCACCTGCCCTGTTTCTATAGGGGTCTGGCCACCCAGAAACAGGTAAATACGCCTTTAAAAATTGTTTAGGAAAAAAGGCAATACAGCTTTCTAATGGTTTATAGATTTGCAACTATCTGTCCTATTAATGTCTAATAGTGTAAAATTTCTTGAATTCTGCCCTTTTTGCAACAGAAATGCATCTTTGTGTCCTCTATGGCCAGATGGCCTGGCGGGTGGGCCATGGCCGAAACTCATGCTCTCAGAATGCTAGTGTTGGGGAGGTTCTTCAGCAATCTGCTGGTGCAACCCAGTTCCTAATAGAGGAAATAGTGGCCTAGAGAGGAGAAGCCTTTGTCCATGGCCAACCAGCCACTCTGGCAGAGACAGAATCTTCTACACCATTCCACCTCAGTGGGAATCATCTCAGAGACTCAGAAAAACAAATTTTCCATCATGAGCTCTATAATCAGGGACAGGGAAGCCACTGGAAAGGAGTATGTAGCCCCCTGGGTCAGTCTACAAAATCTGAATTTTTGCAAATCCAAAACGAACAAGCCTTGTGCAAATCGGGAAGCTAAAAGTGATCAGGGACCATTTAGTGAGCTTACAAAACTGTTTCCCAATGTTAGGCAGGTTGCATAATGAATTTGGATTTAAAACCAGCAACAACTGTCTGTTTCAACTTTTCTCTTGATGGTAGGAGGCTTCATGTGACAACACTTTGCTGGAGGTCCAGGTGACTCCAGTTAGCTAAAAAGATAACAAGGCAGAGTGGTCCCAAAGGCAGTTCCAAGAACTAGGTTAGAGATGCTTGTTCTTGAAAGATTGGGATTCTGGTTAGATCTGCTCAAACTGTGCCTAAGGCACTTTATTAATCCCATGCCGGGACTATGTCCAGGAATGAAACATCCTTTTCAGTCACTAAAAGCAGGCGATGGTGTCTTTCACAGCCCCAAGGATATACATCCTTGCAAAGTTGTAAAGGACTCCAGGGAGTGTGAAGGGGTTCAGCTGCACCTGGCGCGTGAGAGCATTGTGGTGTGACTATAGCTGAGGTGATGGCACCTTCTGGAGCCCATGAAACACTACCTGCAGCTGATCGCGAGGAACATTTAATCCAGTTTCATAAAAGACGGCGAGGTAGTAGGATGCTTTATGGTATCCACAGCAGCTGGAATCCATCAGAGAGGGGATGACAGAGCTAATTTGGTGAAGCCCATCGACACTGGAGAGTCTCTTTACAGCCTTCTCAAATATCCTCCCACCGATTTCTAATACGGATTCATTTGGGTTCCTTGGCGCTGCAAATAACACAATTCATAGCACACACAATTAATTACCCTGAGATTGATGTGGCTTTAGAAAGGAAAGGGGAAAGCCAATTAAACCACCTGAGTTATTAATATGGTTGGTCCTGCAGTACCTTGAAATATACCACCTTCCAGAGAGGTAAATTAAGCCCTTTGGGGATGTCATGGTGTCACCCTGTAAATAGCTTTCTCTTTGCATTAAATGACAGCCTGGCTTCCTGTGCTGTGTGTAGCTGAGCACCTTGAGAGAGTCATGGACTCAAGTGTAACTCACTACCAAATCAGGACCACCAATGTCCAGAGAACTTTTTTCCCTTCTAGGACTCTGTGAAGAAGAATGTGCTTTATCTCAGAAACAATTCCTAGCTGCTGCTCTTAAAAGTAGAACAAAAGTACAGGAATGTGAAATGCTGTCTGATTCTCTTTTGCCTCTAGGTTTTCGTACAGTCCTAAACACAATAAAAAGAATGGGTCAGGCCCTCCCTGGTGGCACAGTGGGTTAAAGCACAGCACAAAGAAGCTAAAGCCACTTCAGCATGAGTTCGATCCCCGCCTGCCCCGGAGGTGACCACATGGCGTGGCAGACCTCTCCTGACCCACTCACTGCTCCCCTCAGCAGTGGACTTTGTTCATCTGCCTGTTCTGCTCCCCGCTCTGTCTCTGGTGAAGACTCTCACTGCCCCTGCACCTCTGGCCTATACTTCAGTTCTACACGTATAAATAAATAAATCTTAAAAAAAAAAAAAAAAGAATGAGTCAACTTTTCTAGGGCACTTGCAACATATCAAGGAAGCTGGGCTTCTTTAAATACAAGGCTTATGCAGATGAGGTCACATGATGACCCATTTCAGGATGATAATCCTTATTTTCAGATGAGGCACTAGACGCATAGAGACGTCAACTAATCTGTCGGAAGTTGCAAGGGCTACAGAATGGCTGCACCCTGTTTGGGGTGCAACTTTGGAGGTCACTGGAGCGAGTCCCCACTGAGTGTCCTACCCCCACCTCCCAGTTAAGCTGGCAGCTAGTCTCTTCAACCTCACCTCGCTCTTGACACAACTGCTTTAAGCTGATACTTTTTTACCTAATCCTCCCATTAACCTGATAAACACTGAGCAAGTGACATGGCCCCATCATCTGAGTGTCACAATCTTCTAAACTCTGCCTGCATTATTCATCTCTCTTATTTATTAATTCAGCCCGTGAATGTTAGCTCTCTATTCTGCGCCTGTTAGAGGCGAGGAAACCAAAAGACATGTAGATCTCACGTGGATCTTAAGTATTTCACAAAAAAGCCACTGAGGAGACTGGTTGTGTTTGAAATGACATGGTCAACGGAAGACGAAAGTTTTACCTCCTTCAAAAATGGCAGTGATTGTGTGCCACTGAATCTATCGATTCAGACAGACGGATAAAGGATAGGTCAGGGCCCTAGGTGATTTTTCCAGGCTTTAAAGCTCTTCTATGCCAACTGTTGCAGGATGAGCCCACAGGCTGGCGAGGCAGGGTGCCCCCGGCAAACCTGTCCCCTTTTCTCTTTGGGCTCTGTGATCACTCGTCATCCTGTAGCTGTTCTGCTCAGCCGTCTTCCCGTCTCAGAGAGACACCACCCTCACAGCCCCGCCCCTGGGCTGAGGTGCAGCCACTCGCACGCCCACACCATACTGCAGGTGGTCACCATCAGGCCCACGTGCCCCAGCCCACGCTCCCAGGTGCCTTTCGCACTCCAGGCCACAGGTGATCCCCACAGAGCTCAGGCGTAAAGGCCTGACCCTCACTCTCCCTAGGTCAATATTTTCCTTTGATTTTCTTCATTCCATCCAAATGTAAATGTTGCCAGCAGCTTCCAGGAAGCAGCAAGAGATCTCTCCATGGCCAGTTTCCAATAGTGGACTCTCAAATGGGAGGATCTATGGGCAATTCCCTGGAGAGGTCCACTCTAAAAATAGAGACCAGCAGAATCCACAGGCCAGACTGTGAAGCCCAAGTCATTGGTTGTGAGCTGGTGGACACACAGGCAGGCATGTGCCTCATCCTGCCAAGCTAGGGGGCACCCAGCAGGCCCCTCATCTCCTGATTCCTGGATCTCCTTCCCCAGCCTTCTCCAAGTTTCTGAGAGGCAATATACATAGCTGGACCTGCTTTCACTGTGAGTCCAAGATACTGAAGAAAACCACCTGCTGAACAACTGGAATTTGCATGGTTCCTGCATTTTATTAACCTCTAAAGAAGTAGATACTAAAAAAAAAACAAAAAAACAAACACACACACACACACACACACACAATGCATATTCATATAAAATAAAAACAGAAGTTCCCTCTCCTCCAATCCTTAATAGTGAAGATAAAGACTATTTAAATCTTGGCGTGTGAGCTCTCCTTGGAGGCACAACGGGTTAAAGCACAGCACTATGAAGCTATTCGCAGCCACTGCAGCACGAGTTTGATCCCCAACCAGGGAGCTGACCCATGTGGCACAGCAGACTTCTCCTGACCTGCCCACTGTTTCTCTCCACAGTGTATTTCAGTCAGTCTGCCTGTTCTGCTCCCCACTCTGTCTCTAGTGAAGCTTCTCACCTGTACCCTGGCCTGTACCCCAGTTCTTGTGTGCATAAAAAAATAAATCTTAAAAAAAAAAAAACAAAAAACTTGGTATGTGTGCTTCTCTTTGCACAAATAATAACTCACAATCACATCTGTCTGTATGTATGCAGACACATTTTCTTTCCAAAAAGTTCCTGACCCTCAACTTTTAAAAAAAAAAAATAAACAGCACATCAGGAGTTTCTGTCCATGGCTGTCAGAAGTATGCATTTTCTAAAACTTCAATACGATTACACTTCACAGCAGAGTCATTTCCCAACCAGGTCTTAGTTTTTAGACGCTCCGGGTAGTCTCCAGTGGTTTGCTTTAACCAACAACACAGCAATGCACATATTGATCATTTCCCTCTACGCCTCTGTTGGGATATATCTGAATAATAATACTCCTATCCTCCTGGAGCCTGGGGAGCACCTTTCAGATTTTCCTTTCCCATGGTTGAGAGAAGAATTCTGTCCTGTCCAAGTCAAACAAGAGAACTTTCTCTGCCAGACCCAGTATGCACCACAGACGTCCCAGGAGTTACAAAATAAATTCCACTTCCTCTAATTCATATATTTACGTTTACAGGGGTACTCATCTCAGCTGCCCCTCTGTGCACATTCTGAGCGAAGCAGCATTAACATTTTGTTAACGATCCAACCCCACCTAGCCTGCTTTGCCAAACACCCAAGGAAGGTGAGTTTTGCCTGGAGACATGGGCTCGAGGGTCTCAAAGGAGATCAGACTCCAAGCCAGATGAAGCTCCGAATGAATCACTTGCCCTGCTGACCCTGGCCCAGAACCCCAAAAATCATTAGCACGAACTCCCAGGTCGCTGGGATTGCTGGGGAAGAGTAGGAGCGTCCTTCTCCTGTCAAATCCTTAGGACAAAAAAGCCTCAGAGGCTGACATGTAAGTAGATTCCATTATTTCTTATACATACGAAAATTCCGAACTCCCCCCAATATCACCAATCAATATTTTCTCTATACAAGAATCTGAACAATTTCTGCACTAGTGAATATAATAAAAAAGAATTCTAAAGTCAAGCTGCTCCTCTTGCACATTCTTTAAAGTCTGAATTCTACCACAGCACCAAGTCATGATGGTGATATTGCAAAACTGGCGATTTTAAAATCAGTTTAATGAAACTGTTAATTTCACCCATCTGGCTCAGCATATGCATTTTTTCTGGTCGATCTGTAACTAAAAAGCATGCCTTGTTCATGGAGATTAATGGCGTAATGAAAAAAACAAACAAAATGGAAGAAGCCATTTTCCTACTTTCTTTCTGCAACAGAAGCCAAAGGAACAAAAAAGCTCAGTCACCACTAACCCTCACTGTTTTCCAAGGAGCACAGGCATCGTCTATTTTGCTTTTTCCCCTATTTTGCTACAACAGTATCATAAGGTGGCCATTTGTGTGCTTGTGGTTAAAAGAAGCAAGGAACAGAAAAGAAGAAGGAGCCGGAGTCGGCATCTGATTGAGGATTCAGAAGGAGAAAGGCAATGTCGTTCCTTGGGAGAGCCACGGAGACATCAAGAGAAAGTCATTTTTACTTTCAAGCTCCCAAAAGGTGTGATGCATCCAAAGTAGGAGTTTGAAAAGGAAAAAAGGGGCGAGAGACAATGGCACTAACCCGGGAGGGAAGTTCTCCACCCAGCTACTAGTTAAAGAAAACAGAACATGTCTCGTTAGTATTCTGAGCGGCTCAGCCCCACTGCTCCGGACCTGAGGAGTCGGCTTGTTTTGCTGTCAAAAGTCAACTATTTGTGCCTTCTGTCCTGTGCCAGTGTTTCCAGTTGTTCACGTTATTTTTCTCCCTTCCTTCCCCCTTTATCTCCTCCTTCCCCTCTGCTCTCTTCCCCCACCTCTCCCTCCTGCCACCAGGGGTTTTCTGGGCAGGAAAATGATGGCCCATTCTTTTGTCAACTTTTTTGTACCTCTGTAGTTTCTTTTTTTTTTTTTTAATAACATATGTATGCTTTCTTAAGTAAAGAAAAAATCCTGAAGATGACGGTTCTTCGTTGAGTAACAACGAAAGTCGGTCTTCAGGGACACGGCATCCTGCTGTTATCAAATGACATCATCGTATTTCCACCATTTCCAGAGTCTCCGAATAAACATGACAAGTGTTGGCAAAGATAAGAGTTAAAAACAGACCAGAGTGGCGCCTGTGTGGCCAGTTCCCTTGGCACAGCACATGGAGACACCCTGACCCTCCACTTGGCATGGGATGAGAGTCAGGGCGTCCCTGGGGACCCAGGCAGATGGCGTCAGCCCTGCCAGCCCAGCCTGGGACCTGGCCTCATCCCAGGACTACTTGCTGGCAGAGCTTGTCTACAGCAGGCACAGCTCCCAGCTCCCAGGGCTCAGCAGTGCCCCCCATGAACCCCCCCAAATGA